GTTGTTGTTGTTGTTGTTGTTGTTGTTGTTGTTGTTGTTGTTGTTGTTGTTGTGGTGGTTGTCGTTGTCGTTGTCGGTGTCGTTGTCGTTGTCGTTGTCGTTGTCGTTGCCGCTGTCGCTCTCGTTGTCGTTGCCGCTGTCGCTGGCGCTGTCCTTGGCCTTGTTTTTGTTCTTGTTTTTGTTTCTTCTTATTATTCTTCTTGTTGTTGTTGTTGCTACTGCTGCTGTTGCTGGTGGTGTTGGTGTTGGTGTTCTTGTTGTTTGTTGGTCGTGGTGGTGGTGTTGTTGCCCTTGTCACCGTTGCTGGTGGTGGCAGTCAAGGGCCTCGAGACCCGAGTCCCTCCGAAGGCTCCATTGTCCTATTGGGGTGTCTCTCAAACTGGGCGAGGTTGGCTTTTTCGCTTTGCTGTGTTTTTTTTTTTTTTTTGTCTGCTTTCTAGCAACTAACTGCTTCTGGGTTGCAATGTTCCTTTGCAGGGCGTCATTTCCGGGGCTGAAAAGCGTTCATGATCATGAGGTAATTTGGTTTGATACAATCTCCACACCCCATTCTGATTTAGTTCAGGCCCCGGCTCTGATTGGGGAATCTTTCTTGGCAAATCATAACCTACGATGAGCTCACCCATGCCCTTCAGTTGGGGGGGTCCTTGTTTTCACTTGGGGAGGGTGTCAACAGTAGGCCCCTTTTCCTTAAAACAAAATCGGCAAGACAGCACCAGGTTGTTTTGGGGCACTATCCCATTTGGTGAAATATCCTTGTTTGTGCACATGGGAGTCGATCAAAAGGTCCTTTACATGGGATGACCATGGGGAAAACCACCGAAAAGAGGATATTTCAACCGCTAAATGAACAAAAAACCCGGTCAAAGCTGGGCTTTTTTTTTGAAGAGGGGTTTCTTGATCAACCGCATATGTGTTGTATGTACGTGTGTGTACATGTGTCTTTGGCCCTTCTAGACGGAATCTTGATCAACCCCCAGATTTTTGAGGCGAGTTCGAGTTTTGGGGAGGCGAAACCGGAAGCTTCCGGGACCACGTGGTCGCAGCGGAGGGCCAGCCGAAGCTGCAGATGCTCCTGAGGCCGATGGGTTAAACCAATGACCATTTTGGTAGGTGCACCTCCATTTTGGGGTCCGATTGGATTTGGCTGTGGGTTAAAACCGTTTTGGGATCCCCAAAATGGGGTAAGTGCACCACCCATTTTAGGCTTTCTTTTAGTGGGGATTGGGAGGTTCACTGGGGGTACGATTTGGGTCTTGACCCATGGCCATTTGTCGCCTGAAACCGGTGGCAAGCAAGTCCAGCGAATCTTCCGGTTCCTTCGCCTGTTGGTTTTTTGTTGGGTTTTGTGGTTGGGTTTCCCCTTAGCTTGTTAGTTGTTTTTGGGTTTAGTGGTTGGGCTTTTCATTCAAGCCACTAAAAGTTATTCACTTTTAGCAGGGATCTGGGGGCAGCCCAGAAAAGACACGGCGGTTGGTTGGCCAGAAATGTTTGAAACATACCCCAGACCAACCCTCTTTTGGGGATTTCTTTCATTTCTCTTGAAACCAGAAACACGTGCATTGGGTCTAGGTTTGGGCAACTGGGCAAAAGTTGTGTGAGGACCTAAGGCCTGGGAGATTGCTTCAATCAGAGTTGTTCAAGCATGTCTAAGCAAAGGCTTGGCCCAACTGCTACTCACCATTATCCACTCATTTCCAAACTTATTTGTTTGTGATGATTGTGATGTTTGCCCTTTTGGGCTTTAATATGAGGGCCTGATTCATTGCCGACATTCTGGTCCTACGAGAATGGCTTCAATTGTTTCCAAGTACCCTGCAAGCCCATCAAGCACCCATGCAAACCCATTCTAAATATTTGACCCTTAGGGCTTTCGGCATTTTGTTTTTGTCTAGGGGTTGATGTCCCATTCTTTTCAATGACAAGCCGTTTTTTTCCTTCGGGTTTGTTAGGTTTAGAAGGAAGGATGCCCGGAAAGAATGCGGAAATTTCTCCACAAAGGGGATACCATGGGACGACCCCGAACTACCATCCAGGAAGTGAGGTTTGCTCTGTGAGCTGAGAACCTGAGGGTTTGCGCGGGTTCCAGCCGTGGTGTGTCTTTTTTTCACGGGTTTTTGGAACTCGAAAGACAGCCAACAATTGCGACACGTTGACTCACCGACCTTCCTGGGGCCATCAGGGCTGTTTTCTTTGGGTTCAGTATGGTCTTTCGAGGGTAGGGAGGAGAGGGGACCTGTTCGTGTCTCTCAGGCCATTTTTCAGCTCAGAGGCGACTTATATACATGTTGAGGGTAGCGCACCACCCGCTGGAAGCAGGCATTGGGAGGCTTGACACAATGGATTTTTGTGTGGTAGCCAACAGCCCGGCAAGAGGTCCTGTGCAACTGAAAGGCTTGCACGTGTTTGTTGGACCAGTCAAAGGATTCAAGGCAGGCTTTCACACAGGGCATGGGAACACGTAGATGGCTAGGAGCTCCAGATGGAAATTGGACATGAGGTGGGGGGGGTGGAGAGATTCCCCAAAAAGCTGTTTGTTACATTGAATCCTGATGGTAACGTGGGCCGGCGAAGCTTGCATGCAATCCGCAATCCTACACTGACATTCAGATATCCACCATGTGTATATATATAAGTACGTACGTATGTGTGTACGTACGTACCTAGATACATACATACAGACAGACAGACAGACAGACAGACAGACAGACAGACAGACATACAGACATACATACAGACAGACATACATACATACGTACATACACACATACACCTACAGACACACACAGACACACACACACACACACAGACACACACAGACACACACAGACACACACACACACACACAGACACACACACACACAAACACACACACACACCGACACAGACACAGACACAGACACAGACACAGACACAGGCACAGACACACACAAACACAGACACAGACACAGACACAGACACAGACACAGACACAGACACACAGACACACAGACACACAGACACAGAGACACAGAGACACAGAGACACACAGACACACAGACACACAGACACACAGACACACATACGCACATACACACATACACACATACACACATACATGCATGCATGCATGCATACATACATACATAAATACATACATGCATTATGCATGCATGCATACATACATACATACATACATACATACATACATACATACATACATACATACATATAGTCATACATACATACATGCATACATCCATACATACAGACATACAGGCATACAGGCATACAGGCATACAGACATACACACATAAATACATGCACACATGCAGACATACACACATACACACATACACACATACATACATACATACATACATACATACATACATACATACATACATACATACATACATACATACATACATACATACATACATACATACATACATACATACATACATACATACATACATACATACATACATACATACATACATACACATACATACATACATACATACATACATACATACATACATACATACAGACGTACACACATGCATACATACATACATACATACATACATATGCATACATACATACATACATACATACATACATACATACATACAGACATACAGACGTACACGCATACATGCATACAAACATGCATAAATACATACATACATGCATGCATACATACATACAGACATACCTACAGACAGACAGACAAACAGTCAGACACACAGACAGACATACAGACATACAGACATATACACACACATGCATACATGCATACATACATACAGACAGACAGACAGACAGACAGACATACAGACATAGAGACATACAGACATACAGACATACAGACACACAGACATACAGACATACAGACATGATATTATTGACCCTCAGAGTATCCCCGCTGCTTGTGCTGCCTGCCAGGCACCGGGAAGTCCTGCAGGACGCGGAGGTGCTGCTGAAGGTGGCGACCCCAATCGGAGGCGCGAAGCAAACGGGTGTTCGACGGGCACGTGCGCGCGCGTGCGCACGCGTGTGTCTGTGTCCCCAGGAAACCTCTCACAGGCCCAGGCCCTCAGGCAGCGCTACTTCCGCGACAAGTCCACGCAGTTCAAATAACCCTCACTTCCATCCAATCCATCCAGTGTGCTTTGTGTGAGGGTAATTACCCTCCCACCAATGAGCATGGAGCCTGACCGGGGGGGGGGGGGTCGTGGCAGTGGTTTGGACCATTTTCCGTTAAAGGGTACTAGTTTGTCAGGCTGGTTTAAAGGGAAGCACAAAAGCTCAAGACAGCTCTGTCTCCTCTCTCTCTCTCAACAGGGAGGGGGGGGGTCAGAAGGCCGGGCCTGCAACCGTGGCCAAGTGAGAACTCAAAGTCCCACCAGAAAGGCCCCATGCAGTGGGGAGGTCCAGTGTTCGCCATGAGCTCGCCATGACCCCTGTCGACAGGGGATTCCTTACAGGTTTTGGACTTGTGAGATGTGCAGAGGTTGAGAAGTCCTAGATCTTTCGGACACTGGATTTTCCACTGTGATGGAAGTTCGCCCGCGGAGTTCGGAAGCCCTACTCGGTTTTAGGGCAGTACCCTCTTTCCAGCGTGGACGCGGAGGATCGGCGGGCCTTGATGAAGGGCAAGTCGCAGATGTCCCCCAATTTATGTCAGTTTACTTGAACAAAGATCTGGGTTTTCCTACATTCCCGGGTTTAGGCAGGTTTTAGGCATCATGTTTTGTGCTTTCGTTCAGTGAGTTTTCTTTTCGTGGGGCCTTTGGTTTCATCTGCACTTGATCGTTTTCGCCGGAAGCTGACTTCCTTGGGCCTCATTTAAAACGCCTTGCCGTTTTGCGCTAAGCTTAGCTTTTGAGAAGGGGATATATATATACATATATTGGCACCCCCCCTGGTGTTGCTTAATTTGAGCGCGCAGGCTGTATAGTTTTGATGATTTTGCAGAATATATATATATATATATAGGGAGCCCTTTTTAACATTTTTAGATGGCTCGGGTTTTAGTTTGCCCGGTGGGCACGCCCGGTGCCGTGACACTCAACTCGCGCGAGGTCCAAAGCCATCAGAGAGCACCAAGGCTGCGTGAAGCAAAGGGCGGGTGGGGCGAAGTTGATTGAAGCACAAGTGGTTGGCCCATTGTCAGCTGAAGAGCCTACCTTGCCTTGGCGGACATTCTGCAAGACTTGTTGCAGACATGCAGACTGGAGTGTCAGATATCAACTGGGCTGAGGAGCTCAAAGGACAGGAAGGCCTAACACCTGTGCTCCAAATGCGCCTGCGAGTATGCGGAGCGCGTTTTCGTCAGGACGCGGAAGCGCCGGCGGACTCAAATGCGGCTCGGAGGCAAGCTCATGATGCCGGCCAGTCGATTGAACATAGAATGTGGGGGTGCAGTTGTTTTTCATGCAGTTTGCGGTGGCGGTATTTTTTCAGCTTCCAGTACCACGAGCCCTAAGTTGCAATCACCTGTGTAGCGCATCGTTTTGGTACATTCCAAGTCTGTTCACATCGCCCCGTATGTTTGTACTTCTAAGCCGGAGTTCTTCCATACCCAATGACCGCCCCCAAATAGATCATGATATTGCCATGGGTGAAAAGCTCGTACCCCCAGTGAACATCCCAATCCCCACTGAAATAAAGCCTAAAATGGATGGTGCACCTACCCCAAAATGGGATCCAAAACGGTTTTGACAGCCACAGCCATATACTCTTTCTACAGACTTGGTGGCTCCCAGCCATTCCCTAGCTTTTTAGCCTTTTAGTGTTTAGTGTTTAGTGGTAGTTTCCATTTAAACCACTCAAAGTGAGTCACTTTGAGCGGGGGATCTGAAAACGGGCAGCCCAGCAGAGCATGTGTTTTGACGATAAACGCGTTGAGCCTCCGGTGGGACGCTCAGTCGAACCCCGTTGGTCGCCCAGGAGCAGCTGCTCCGGGGGAGGTACTGCTGCGACCGGCCGCCGGAGCATGGGGCCAAAGCCGCCGGAACCAGCGCTCTGGACGCAAGAGGAGGTGGTTGCTGGGTAGACTTAGGAGACATTTTACATTTTACCAGTGACTCCATGTGAAGCAAACAATAGAAAATACATTCTATAACTGGGCCTAACTCTAATCATGGTTGGTGGAAGGGACTGGGGTCGTGATTTTGACCGTTTCTAGGGGGTATCAAAGTCAGAAATGGCTGTGGCTCAAAATTAAACAGGAGGGGTTACGCAGGTTTTGGTCCATGTTTCCACTTACTAGGGTTCCATTTTGGTACCGTTTTTTTGTGCCACAGCCAAATGGAACTGGTTGTTGCCCTTTAACCCATCACTTAGGGGGTGACTTGGATAATGGTAAAATAATGAGGCCAGAGGGAGCCCAGCCTCTCGGGGGTATCCGAATTAGCCCGTAAAGAGGGAGCTAAGGAGCTGCCTTTTTTTCCGAGTCTTGGGGGTTGCTTTTGGATGGCATGTTTTTTTTTTTCTCGATGTTTTGTGGTTTCTCCGAGTTTTGGGGTTTGCTTTTGGATGGCATTTAAACGGAAACCAAGAAGAACCCATCCATTCGCAGGGGGACCCTTTGCCGGAGCGGTCCCTGTTTTCCCTCTTGGGAGGTTTAGTTTAATTATTACTTGTTTGAGCCGTTTGAAGGCAGCTTCCTGGCGCGGTCATGGTAGGGGAAGTTTCGGGACCCGTGTGGGCTGCGTTGAGCCAAAGTCAAAGCCGAGGTAGATGAGAGGTTCGGATCTTCCCATTAGACCCCTTCGTGCGGCTTGAGTGCGATTCACCTGGTGTTGGCCCTGATTGCAAGCCTTTTTCTGGGGACTCCTTTTTTTTCTAGCTTGAGCCGGAGTAACCCTCTTCAAACAAAATACGGTCTTTTTTTTCAGGGGCTCAACATGCCGATTGAATTGGGGGACTCAGGGAACCCCGATATAAACTCCGAAAGGTTTGGGGCGATCAGACACCCAGCGGTTCCACTCTAAGCTCGGACACGGCGCCTTTAGAGTCAACCAAGCGTCCCTTTGCTTAAATTATAGCAAGCTTACTTGGCATGAGTAGGGAATCCCTGACTTCTATGCTGTTACAGCTCTTATTTAAGGGCTTACGCCTGACAGCCCCCGAAAAGCATCAGTTTTCCACGTGCTGTCATGATTTTCGCAACCGCGCGGCCTGGAACCCATACAAAACCAGCAAAAACACACGGTTTTTCTACTGGTTCGCCAAAAACGCTGCCAGAAATCGGGTTCGGCCGGGGAGAGGTGACCCCTTCCTGCTAAGCAGGTTTCCACCCGGCCTTGAATCCATACAAAACTATCGAAAACACTGTGTTTTTTTTTCTGCGGTTCGCCGAAAAGCCCCAAAAATCGAGTTCGGCCGGGACCGTTGAAGCCTGCCTGCTAAGCAGGTTTCCATATTTTCCACGTTTGCACCCGCCAAAAACCTTCAAAAGCACTGTGTTTTTGCACGTTCTCGGCAAAATTGGCCCGACTCAGGTGACAACATCGCCAGCATCCCCCGCATCACCGGCCTTATCCGCATCAATGTCCGCCATGGATGCGGACGATGCTCAACAAGTCGTCAAAAATCGCCTGAACAAATTCACAAATCCTTCGCCCCTTAGCAGTGAATGCAGCCTCCGTTCGACACGGAGTGAACGTGGATTGAACCTAGAGTGGGGCAGAGTGAACCCAGAGTGGGTCGGCGGCAGGGGGCGCGAGCCTTATGGAGGGAACCGAAGGCCTCCGGGGAAAACCACGGGCTCGGGGCGCCCGGATTAACCAGGCTCCCGCCTGCTGCCGCCGACCCTCGGCGCATTAAGGGAAAAGTCACAAGGACCGGGGACCACTTGTAAGATTTTCTACGACCACAAACAAGGATTGACGGAAAAGTCAGAAATATGGCAGCTGGTCCGTTTCTTGCCGCTTGGGCCGGCTTGCGCCCAAGTCGGCCCGGGAGCAGTCGCCTGTCCCGGGTCGCCCTGAAGCTGGCCCTCCCGAAACTGCCCCGGCGACAGTGGCCCTAGTGGCCTGGACCGGTCGCCGGCAGGGACCGGGACTTGGGCGCGGTTTGGTGGACTCTCTTGCAGATTAGATCCAGGGATCCTCTACTACCACAAGGATTAGCGCAGCTCGTCCGTCAATGACCGCGGGTGCCAGTCCGGAAACAGCGACACTGGAGGAAACAGGTGTCTGGAGCTGTTTGAGGTGGCACCGGGTTTCTGCAGCGGTTTGAAGTGGGATCCGATACCAGCGGTCACACCAGGACTCGATGAAAGCGGTCCTGGCCGGGACTAGTCCAGGACCAGTCCCAGGACCGGTCCCAGAGAACCGGTCCTGGGACCAAACCTGGACTGGTCCCAGCTGGGACTGGTCCCGGAACCGGTACCGGTCAGGACCGGTTTGGCTGACTGCAAGCAATCCAAAGCGGTCCAGGACCAGTCCCAGGACTGGTCCCAGGACTGGTCCCAGGACCGGTCCTGGGACCGGTCCCGGGACCGGTCCTGGGACCGGTCCTGGGAATCCACTTTTTGTGCTTTCGGGCGTGCCCCCCCAAGGGACTATCATTGATTCCAATCACTTCCAGTTGCATCCCACGCCGGTCCCCTCTGCAGGAGGCTGGGACGGGAGGCAGAGGGTCGGCGGATTACTGCAGACTCTGTGTGTCTTCGATAAACCAGTGAAACTTGAGGAATGCGAATTGCACCAACAACGCGAAGCACTTATAGCAGATACCGAGACATCCAACGACTTGTTCGTTTGGGGGGAGGGGGGGAGCTGGAAGGGGCGGGCGGGCAGCAAGAAACTTGCTTAGATCACCATCCCAGCTGGTACTGGGTTACAGCAGCAGCTCGTTCAGCCCCGAAGTAGCCTACATACAATCCACTGACAAGACTTGCTGACTGGGTTAACCATCTACTAGTCGGGATCCAAACAGGGGAAAGCAGCAAACACTTCGGGGAAGGAAAATCCACGCACTAACCCCCAAGAATCACCCAAGTCGGTTGGGCTCATTTGGACATTCGGGCTGCGTGTATTTGTTTGCTGATGAATCCTGAGCCGTATTTCTGTGAAACTCCCTTCATCCACTTGCACAGATCCCTTTGTCACTTGCCCTAAAGTTGTGGCTCTTGACCAGGAAAACCTGCTCTGCTGGACACGCAGTTGGCGAGCTTTTTTGCTGAGACCTTACCCGCATGTCACGCCCTATTCCTGTACCAGCCGAGCTCATAGCGCGTCTCTTAGGTTCCATCAGCCCGAACGGTTGCCTCAAGAGACCAGCCCAGCTTGAAACCGATGCCCCCAGCTCTTTGGCCCCAGGCACCCCGCGGCGCCGGCCCCGGTCCGCCGGCATGCGCACGCCGCGCGCGGAGAGCGGCTTGGAGTACAGGCGCGGGCAGTGGGAGGTGACTTTTGTGGAGGGACCCTGGTTTGGCGGTGGTTTAAATACGGAAGCCCAAGGGAAAACCTAAGCCATTGGGGGGGTTCCCCAAAAATGACACACGTCCACAGATGCATCACTATAGGAGCCACTTTTCACCCTAGTGATTTCCACAGATAGATCCCAAAAGGGCAAGCAGCCACTGTCCTCCCTTTTTTTTTGCAAAGGGCGGTTCCCTGGGCTGCTCGCCAGACAGGGAAACGGAATCCCTGGAATAAACGCTCTTGCTTGTGCTCAGTAGGGAATGAGGGAATGACTTCCACAACCCATCCCGTGTGGTTTCCTTTAAGATAATTTCCAGGTACATTCCCTTATTCCCTACCTATCGCACCAGCAAGATGGTAGACCCGTGCTCCCCGTCTCCTTCGCCAGGCTGCAGAGGTCGCCCTACCAAGACGCCAGCGCGTTGCAGGAGCTGTTCACTGAGGAGCGGCAGGAGAGTGGTGTCAGGACCCGCGACCAGCGACCGCGTTTTTTTTTTTCTTCTCCCCATGCGGAGAAACCCCTTCGCCATTTGAGCAAGTCGTTCCTGTGTTTTCCACTAGATCGGAAACCGCCATTGCTTTTTCTTGTTGGTGCTCAGTCGGGAATGTCCCAGGCTTTGGGAATGCGCGTAGGGATTCTACTAGGCCCTAAAAGAAGCCATGTCGGATGGTTGGGCTCATTCCCTCATTCCCTGCTGAGAACCAGCAAGTTTTGTTTGGGGGGTAAGTTTGGGCATGAACCCCTGTGCAAGGGAGAAATGGGAGTGCCTGAGTTCTTCAGATGCCACCGTCTTGGGAGCTTGGTGGGCTCCCCACTAAAGCTAGACAAGAGCAACTAGGTCCCCCCGCTAGGTGCCCTTTTTCACCCCTTTTTTGGTTGAGAGGGTTCCCCTACTAAAATCGACTACCGAAAAAAGTTGGTACCCTTATTCTAACCTCTCTACTGGAGGACCTAGGCAAACAGGGTACCCTTTTTCTTACATGATCACTGGGCAACTGGCTCTTGTCCTGAAGTTGTTCTTGCTTGTCCAGACCACTTCGAAAGTTTTAATCCCCAGTTGAAATTCACTTCCCGGAAGTGCATTACACGTACATACGGTAATTTCTCGGGGACGAACTGAAATGGTTTGGCAACTACTGTGGCTGCTTTGTTACTGAACACAAATGCCCCTCAGTACTGAATGTTCAAAAACAGTACCAGGTAAAACCAGTGTTGCTAAGCGGTTCCGAGTATACGAGATGTTTACAGTACCAGGCGAAGCAGACCTTGGAGACCTGCTCTGAATCTAATACTGGTTCTCAAAATATCGGGTGAATCGGGCATTGTAAAACAAGTTCTGAATCTGATGGTGTTTATACTGCCAGATGAGATGCGTATCGCAACACAAGTTGAGTAGATAGGTTTTGTTTGCAGCGCCAGGTATGCAAAACCTCGAAGTATTTTTTTTGCATAGGATGCATTCGTTGGGCTGAAGCCTGACGCTGGCTTGAACCAGGTCGTTCTGAGCATTGAGGTGCGTGGTGAGGTATTTTTTGGAAGGCACTCTGAGATCAGGTGTACACAGCATGAGCTTCTTGGTCATGTGAAGCATGCCGACATGCTCAAAAGACATGAAAGAAGATGAAGGATCTGGGCAAGCTCTAGCGAACTCGCCGAGTGGGTTTGAAATCCCACCCATCATTGATTGAAGGTTCATTTCAGATAGTACTTTTTATTTGTTGGGTTGGTGAATCCGTGAATGTGGTCATCTTTCCTGAGTTCATGCTAGAAACTCACAAGGCAGAGTCTCCAAGAATTGCCCAAGCCATAGGGACCGGTTGTAATCCCATGTAATTCAGGTCATTCAATGGGTGTTTTGGTTGGGGGGGCTGTTGTTGCGTGCCCTTATTTAGAGCCCCCGGTTCGAAGGTCGCTTGCGTCTGAGCCGAAGGACACCGAGCTTCTTCGAGCCAAAGTTGCCGAAGGCCGGAGGGCGGGGCTCTCGGCATGACATGGACTGGGAGGGACTTGGAGCGGAAGTTCCTTGGCTCCAGTTTCTCCATGCCTGCAGAATGGGAATTGGGGTTTTCGCTCCCCCCGAGCCCCCTTCCCAAACATGGCTCCCCAACCCTTCTGGTTTGTTGGGCGGACCTTTGCCCAGGCGGCAAGCTTTGCGTGTTGGAGCAATGGTAGGCGAGTTTCCTCGTGAGATGATGTGTTTTTGGATTCTTTCAGGGGGGGGAGGGGGAGTATAGTTGCCATCATCTTGGGCGTACGAGACGCGATCTGCATTCACTCAAGTGCAAGGAAATGGGGACTCCACTCACCAGGTGTCCTCCATTACGTGGGATGTACAAACCCTCAATTCCCCATGTCAATGTGAGGAGCTTTGCCTACCAGTCTACCAGTCTAGTCAGGGGTTCTACTTCTTGGCCAAGTTGGCATGGATGTGAAGACCTACTTACAGTCGCCTTCACAACCCTATGGGGGTGTCTTTTTTAAATTACCCATAATACGGATGTCGGTGTTCCTTGTGGTTTTCCTCAACCACCCAACAAGGGCAACCAACTCAAAAAAAGCCGAGCCACCCATATTGGTATCAACCACGATGTTTTGGAGTCCATGTCCGTTGTGAGCACCACTGGAGACTGTTCCACCTATTGCTTTAGTGTGATACGGGCCTGCTCGTTTTGAGTGCAATCACTTTGGTTTGTGTTTGTTGAAACCAAAGGGAATTCCACCACATTCGGGCTCCCCTATTTTGAGACACACCCATACCTGCACCCTCCGAATGTACTGAAATGTCCGTATGGATTTCCAGGAAATGCACTGATTTTTGCGGACAGTTGCAAAAAAAGGTGCCATGGTTAGTCCAGGTATGCTCAGTCATGATCGTTATGTGTATATATATACATATATATATATACACATATACATTGGGTAGCTATTGTGGTGTCCTGATCCTTTGGGCTGAGGAGAATTGTGTCGCTTTCAGTTCAAAAGCGGCGGCCAGCGTTTTCGTTTTCAAGGCCGCATGTCGCGAAGCAAGCCTTGTCAACCAGGCCAAAGCCTAAGTTTCTATGTCGGAATTCGACGGTTTTTGGAACAGGGCGGGTTCGGTTCCCGGGTTCAGTTCAGCTGCCTTTGGATGTGGACCCCATGGAATGAAACCCCTCGAACAAAGTGGACCGGACGTCTCTGCCCGCCGACTACCGGCAATTCGATCAGGGGGTTGCCAGCCAAAGAAAGCTGCATCACATGATGGACATGCTCAGGCTGGGGAGAGGCGGAGGCGAGGCAGCTTGCAAGACGAGTCAAATGCATTTTTTGGCGGGACTTCTCAAAAGCGGGACGATCTTGAAGGTTTAGTGTAATTATCATGCTGATTGTGCAAAGAGGCATCTTTAGAAAAGGGTTCAAAGACGAAACAGGCCGGATCGAGGAGGTTTCCTTTCTGGACTCTGGTTTTCGAAACCAGCAAAGCGGTGCCCGGAGCTGGAATCATATGAAAAGTGGGAGAGGTTTCCGCAACAGCAGTGCATGCCTTTGGGTATTGGTAAGTAACTGGACTTTCTGGGTGCTGTTGACCTCAAGGAGGTCTACTCTCCCACCCGGTGAAACCTGACAGAAGGGCATCTACGAAATCTGGCCTCACATGATTTGGTTTGCGACTGATTTCACCCATGAGTGGCGTGTGTTTTCTCATTTCAGATTAGTGATGATTGATTATTCTCCTGTCGGTACAGAAACAGGCCCATTTTCCGCATGAACGGAGGTTCTCATCTGAAATGGTTCTCAAGGTTGATCCCTTCTTTCTAGCGGGGGGTGCCTCACACTTCTAGCAGGGTTTCGACTGCCCCAAACTACTACCCCAAAGGACAAATCAGTTTTACCCTTTGGTGAAAAAAGCGCCTATGCAGTGGTTGTCTACCCCATTTTTGCCTTTGGGTAGCGGATTCCCCTTTGGCATCACTGCGGCGTTCAGGGAGGATGATCGCCGACGCATGGACGACCTCACCACTCGAATCTACGTGACTTGGAATCTGCCGATTTATGACGGAGAGCTCACCTGGCTGGGGGTGAAACGAGCTAATGATGGCCTTATGTCAGGTTTGGAGCATTTGCCTTCGCATGCAACAAGATGAGGGTGTCTTGTTTTGAGGGTTCCCACTTTCGGGCTGCTTTAGTGGGAAGGCAAACAGTTCTACTACTCATTTTGGAGGGGGCCTCTCATTTTGAGAAAGATCTATTTCTTTATGTCCTTTGCACCCCACCTTATGTAGACGCCCCCTGCGACACCCTTCTTAAGGCTTTTGGTAGCCTCACAAAGATCGGTTTCTAGCCAGTAAATCCCAAGAAAGAGTAGCCTTCGCAGTGAGTGATGCCGATTCGGAGCCCGCTGCTCGTTTTAGGTGTGTGCGTGTGTCTATATTCATTGATACATGTATGTATAATGTACTTTTTTGGCACTGTATGTATATAGTGATATGCATCTATATATACATATCTAGAAATATATATATATATATATATGTATATATTATGTTCGTAAAGAGGAATCTGTTTTGTGCCGGAACCTCTTTTGTTTGGCTGTCCGTGCGCAACTTCCAGACATATGTTTGGGGGAATGCCCCAAATCCCATCGCCTCAGCACAACGCAGTTGCCTTCCATGCGCCACGTCTCAAAGCTCACGGCCCCATCTGAAGGCTCAAAAGCGATGGATGCCCATGGATTCGATTCCCCCGTGCACACCTCGGAGCTGACCGTGGTATACAAGGCAAGACTAAACACTCAAAACGACCAGTCAGCCTTGGGATAGTGCGAAACACAGAAAACCCACAGCTTATTTGAAGGGCGGTGAGCCTTGCATCGCCTGGCCGGGGGGGGGGGGGGGGCATTAAATCTTCTGAAGTCATACTCCGCCCAAATGAGATAAAGACGCGGGGACTGTAGCATATTTGTGAATTGGCCGGATCCTTAAATTCAAAACGTGTTGCAAACAGCTGGCTTAACACCCTGAACATTTTTTAAATCTCGTGCTTGTTTGTTGTTAAATTGGAAGGTAGGTGTTTTCTCTTTCAGTGATAGATGTTTTAAAGAAAGCCCGAGCACCCAGCCGATCGGCAACAACTTGTCCTTCTCCCATCAAAAAAATCCGCGGGATCGCATGCTCTCGGCCCTGGCGCAACGCGGGCGGCAGCTTCAGCTGGCCCTGCTGGAGAGACGCCTGCGCCAGCGCCCGGAGAACGTCTTGCGAGCGAAGGCGGGGCTCGGGGGGAAAGGAGGGAGGGGACAAGGCGCCGGGCCTTGTCTTCGGTGGAGTCCTCCTTTTTTTGAGATGGAAACCAGGAAGACCATGTTGAGAGGACTCTCCTTAATTTTGAGGGACACCAGGGTGTTTTGTTACACGGGTGTTCCCCTCATGGCACTAGGCTACTTGGAAGACCATTCTCCTCTAAAACACACCTTCTGCTGGTGCATGGTGGATGGCAGTGAATCCTTTGAACAGCTCCCCTCATTGTTGGAGCTAACATCGACGTAGTGTTTTTGTTGAGGTTTGAGAGAACCCTTCTCGAATGTACATCTTGGGAATAGGAGCCCAACCGGGCGAAACATGGGAGTGTTTTGCCAGGCTTCGCCATCCCTGGTGTGTTGGGTTTTTGCCATGGTAGGGTTTGGAAGACCGGTGGCTGGAGGTTCATTGGCTAAAGACGTACCTCGCTTGGGCAAGCTGAGGTTAAGGGACTTGATTCCTTCGGGCTGCTTGCATGTGCCCTTTGAAATCTGGCGCCAGCTGGCTATTGTATATCGTTGCGTGGCAACTCGCAAAGTCAATATCATGGGCAGTTGTGAGTTTGTTCGCACCTTGGGCACCACCAAAGCTTCCTTTGAGATAAATTGAGGATGTCCGCAAATGGACCGCTGAGGCGCTTTTTTTTCAAAATTGGGTATAGTTGCCCATGGCTTTGGTGCGACCGCCTTCCCTTCTTGAGGCCTCCCGGGCCATCCTCCGGCCATCAGCTCCGAGGCGGCCAGCCTCTACTGCCTCTCGGCGGAGGCCGAGTCGGGGTCCTCGGAGCGGGGATGGCTCTTCGGCGAGGCGCAGCGGCATCTGGAGAAAATCCTCCAGAGCTCCGAGGAGTCGTGCACAGAGAGAGGGAGGGAGGGAGGGAGGGAGGGAGGGAGGGAGGGAGGGAGGAGGGAGGGAGGGAGGGAGGGAGGGAGAGAGAGAGAGAGAGAGGGAGGGAGAGAGTCGCATTAATAGATTGGGTGGGGAGGGGGGGGGGCTGCTCATGAAGATTCCTTTTTTGGGGGATCCTGTCTTCGGGCCCTTATTTCAGGACCGTGAATCATGACTTACCCAGAATGCATAACTACTTTCACCAGATATCCAGTGGCCGTTGATTTTGTGTGCGTGGTTGGGAGGGGATTCCTGAAGGTCTGGGCTTGTTTTCATCAATCAATTCCGCACGCCAGTGACCAGCGAGTCGACTTGGGGATTCGGCTGCGTTGAAGCGACGCCTTGTCGTGTGTGAAAAATCACCAAGATCTACGAATTGATTCCTTATCCTTTGGCTGTCTTCTATGGGCTGCAAGGGGGCCCCTTCTTCACAATTCCCATGGTTTACCTTGGTAAATGAAGCAGCAGAACCAGGCAATTCGGTGGCCGCTTCCCTATTTTTGTGCGAGTTGTATTGATTTTCGAGCGCACTTGCGGGCCCACAATTCAGGTTTCGGAATGATCGCGTGAGCTGATTCTGTTGAAGCATCATCCGTTTCAAATACCAGCAGTGTTCCTCAGGTCTTTGGTTCTCGCGGAAGAACCTCTGGAGTGGGGCGCGCCCATCTACACCCTTTCTAATCAACCACCAAACAATCGGACATGAATCAAATGTTTTGCCGAGGGAATTTATCGCTTTCGGTGGATTCCTACGCAGGATCCGCAGTATTTGCACTTCGTCTTGACCTCCGCAGTGGGGGCAAAGCGCCTGGGCCGCGCCAAACAAAAAGACTCGCACTTCGCCAAGGGACCTTTCCTGATTTCCCTTACTCTCCCTAGAAGCAATTGCCCCAGTTGACCAGTGGGTTGCTTCCTTTTTCCCTTGTTTTTGGAAGGGTTCCCCTTTAAAGTCAACCAACCAACAAGGATGCCCTGTTTTTCCATGGCCACTGGGCATTTGAGTTGCCCTTCCAACCACTCACATGGAACCTGACTGGGGCAACATGGACAAAAGTTGGGTTTGACCTTGGCGGCCTCCACTTGCAACGGGCCTCTGGCACATGTGACAGCCGAATTCATGTACGTTCATTGCATGAAACTGACAGAAGGACATCATAGCCCTAAACAAGCAACCTTCATTTCGATGCACTGACCTGCGTCCTTCGTTTTGAATGTCGTACTTTTGCAGAGTCTTGAGCCATTTGCGGCATAGTGTATAGTTGTGGATTCGAGTGCAGCGATAAGCCATTGCAGGATCCAGGACCGACCCTTCGTGGTTACTCTTTCAGCCAGAGAAGCAATACGCTAAGACCCCTTGTCCACTCCCACACTCCCCTGACAAGCTGGGGATTGAATGGCAAAGCGAAGCGCATGATGCTTTTTCTTTTGCGTTTGGGGGCCTGACTGAAATCCGTTGGCGGGTGTCTTCACACAGTTTTTGCTGGGTGTTGAAAGAATAATACTTGTTGTTTGTCTCGAAAAGAAACCGTAAAAGGACCCATGGGTTGTTTTGTCCTGACCATCCATGTAAACTTCAAACACACACACACACACAAAAAGAAAGAAAACAATGAACTACGGTCAGATTTCCTGACCGATGTTGGTTTGATTTAGAGAAAATGCAGTTGCCCAGCACGGACCAGCGACACATGGCTCCAGGCTTGTTCGAATTGCCCACTGTGCTACCACAGGAAGGTGTTTCCAAGGACAACTGCTTCACTAAGGCTGGCATGACAGTGGGCAAGATATCCTCATCAGCCGCGAGTTTCCGTTGTCCCATTTGGTGGGCGCCATCAATCCTTTTCTTGTGGTACCATCCACCCACCCAAACCTCCAGTGGTGCCCTCTATCTATGTCATTTGAGATGTTTTCCCTTGAGAATCAGCTTGGCTGTGTTTGTTCTGTTGCGGGGTCTTATCATGGTTTCTTTGCTTCAACTAGGCCACGTCTAGTGGCGCCGATGGCAAACACGATCCCTCCCGCAAGAATGCCTACATGTACCTACGCGCAAGCAATCGCGATAACGTGTATCTCATAACTTGTTAATTCAAATGCAGTAAACGCAAATGCACTTTGGCAGCTCCAGCTGAAAAGTCACAACTTGTTCAGTGCACGTGTAGTACATGAAGTGCACTTTTGCAGCTCCGGCTCGCACATCGCAACTCGTCAGTTCTAGAGGTACACCCTGGCAGGTCAAAGATCGGGCATCGCGACATTTGGTTCCATGTTCCCAGCATGTTTGTGAAGCCCCCACCCTTCGACCCGTTCTTCCAAGTCATTGTAAACCCCAGTTAGGGGTTGAACATCTTGTCCAACAACTGGGCTTATGATCTACCTCTTGTCAATTGAATGGGCTCATTGTCCTTCCGGTTGCCATTGGTTGTCAGCGTGTTTTTCCCAGTGCGCACCGAGCCGGACCCAGGAACTTTTACCAGCTCCCACAGCTGACTGCACAGTTCATGCGAAAGATCGCGCTGCACCGGGACTGTATGGCCACTTGCTACTTTATAGCAGGCCCAGTGTGCAGCTACCGCTAGTTCTACAGTGCCCCAAACCGATCTTTTGGGCCGAAAGGGTCGCTCAGGTTTCATCCATTGTTGGCAAAGGTTCCAACAGGTTAACCCCTGTACTTCTGGGTGGTTTGGGATGGGCGACAGTTCTGAAGGAGGGGACAGCCTTTTGCCTACTCGACAGGGAAATGGAATCACGTGGGGTCATCAGAGCCAAGTTTCATGAGCCCCCAATAGGGGCGAACTGAGGAGTCCATCACCGACAATATGAATACATGAAACCTAAGGGCCTTAGAAGGGCTTGCCATAGGGCTTATCCAGCCATAGCCCCCTCACGCCTTTTTTGGTGGTGTTTTTTGAAGGGAATCCAAAGGAAAAAGTCATCATCCATTCTCTGAGTTTCAGATACCACTTGTAGGTCACCAGGGTTTCTTGCCTCCGGGCCTTCAGGCTTCAGATCTGCTCCTTCTGGAGAAGTAAGGATCATTGGCAGCGCTCTGGCTTTGACTCATTGACCACGAAAACGCCGCCCTCCATAAATTAGGGCATCTTAGGGTACACCGAGATAAGAGTCGATTGCGCAGCTTTGCTGTGGGTAGCCAAGCTGGTCAATGGCCTTCCAGCCTGAGTCAAGATGAAAGATCGGGCCACTTTGGAGGCTCCAAGAAAGGTAAAGGGACACCAAGAGGAAGGCCCGCCATTTGCTGGGGGTTCCAAGCTAAACAAATGGCACGCCCAAGTTGGCCCATTTTTCGAGCTCCGCGAACTTTGCCCCGAGGAGGAGTTCAGAACTCGCAGCGAGTTCGAGGAGCGGGCCAGCAGCTACCACCTGGCGAATGCCTTGGCCATTCTCAAGGCGAGAGGTGTACTGGGTGGAGGGGTGGCTTTCCACGGCGGGATGGGGGGGGGGATGGGGGGGATGGGGTGATGACCCGACTTGTGGCGGCAAATTCAGGTGTGTCGCTTTGGTGAAACAGCAAACGGGGTGTTTTGGGCCCGGTGACACATGGAGTGACCCGAATCGGACTGATCTCAACACCTGATCGTATGTTGGGCTTTGGGTTGCCACTGAAAGGTGAGTCAACCCATTCAACCCATCGTATAGTTCTCAAGTCATGGGGATAAGTTATAAGGGTCTTTGGTTTGACCGACATAACAGGGCCTGTTTTACTCAGTTGTCTCTCTTTTTTTTGTTGGTAATTCTTCTAGTCTTTGCTTCGTCTCGTATAGTGTTGTGTGGCCTTTGTAGAAAGGCTCATGATTTGACAGCGCTTGCTTGCTTTGAGCCAGTTTACTCAAGACATGAGGGATTGTCTAGGCCTACTACGACTACTACTACTACTACTACTACTACTGCTACTGCTACTGCTACTGCTACTGCTACTGCTACTGCTACTACTACTACTACTACTACTACTACTAATCCCGCTATGACTACTGCTACTACTACCAATACTCCTACTACTACGCCTCCTCCTACCACTACTACTACTACTACTACTGCTACTACTACTACTACGACTACTACTACTACTACGACTACTACTACTACTACTACTGCTACTACTACTACTACTACTCCTACTACTACTACTGCTACAGCACAAAACCTTTTTTCCGAATCATACGTCGAACCATACCTGGCCTGCGTTAGACCACTGAACCTCCGGAACCTTCCTTGAACCTCACACCTGGCCGGCGCCAGACAACCCGCGGCTACTGTGGCGTTTGCAGCATAAATCGTGGCAAAGTGCGCGGAACCCTCCGGACAACCTTCCGGACAACCCCCGAGACAACTTGCCGGACAGTTGTTTGTCCAGCAGTTTGTCCCGCACTTTGTCCGGCACTTTGTCGCGCACTTTGTCCCGCACTCTGTCCCGCATAGCGAGGGGGGTGTTTATGCACAAGGGCACTCGTCAATATATACACGCACACATAGCTTTCCAAGGCTCCCATTGGCTTTGACTCGCTAGGCTCACCATCCCAAAGATGCGATTTTGCTTGTGACATCCCTTCAAAGACATCCAGAACATCACACCGCGGTTTGATGGTCGTGCAAGATTTCAGGAAGAGACACGGATTCTTTTTGCTGAGCGAACCTAAAGGTCCCTTGGTTATGTGTTTTTCCTTTGTTTGTTCCTTAAAGCCAAAAAGCGTTCCTTTAGCTGCCCAGTGCTTCCAATTACACCCATAGTAAGAAGCCAACCAGGTTTTGTACCTCTAGGTTTTCGAAGGGTTGTCGATGGTTGAAAAGAATGGAGTTGGAATCAACCCAAACCAACTTGTCTCCCCTATTTCTGGTTGGTTTAAGGATGACTTCGAGAATCAACCCCTAGAGAGATGGACTCCCCGGTGGTTCAACTCGGTTGCCCGAGTCGAGGGGAACTCCGCTCGAGGCGGCCGGGGAGTGGACCAGCGCGCAGGAGCTCTTCGAGGAATCGATTCGACTCGAATCGGCCGAATCGAATTCAGAGTCGAGAGGTGGTTTTGATCCATTTTGGGGATTCACCATGGCCCCAACGCTATATGGCTGAAGAAATGCCTGCGTAACCCTACATCTTTAATTTTGAGCCACACCCATACCACACCTGAGCCACTGGCTCAAAACCCGGGTAGATGAAGGTTAAGGGACAATCCCCTTGCCATAAGTAGCTGGCGCCTTCATAATTCTTGATCCATGGTTCTGGGATTGCGACCATTTTTATACCGGGTTTTGATTGTGGCTCGGGTGTGGTATGGGTGTGGCTCAAAAGGGTTACGCAGGCATTTCTGGAGCCATGTAGAGTTGGGGCCATGGTGAATCCCCAAAATGGATGTTCCCAAGACGTGTCCCGGAGATTGGCTGGTTTTTTTTGGGATTCCTTGAAGCACCTTACGGCGGCTTCCTTTGTTCTTCCACCCAACATGGCGCTTCTGATGTGTGGTTTTGTTTGTTCTTGCTGTTTCAAACTTCACGCTTGTGTATCTGATGAATGGTGAGTTGAACAAAGTCAAAGCCCCTGTTCAAGTTCTCAGGTTATCAGTGGTACGCTCTAAATTGCGTGTTGCTTGGTGGGTTCCCCGTGTTGCGGCTGCATTTAATGGACCACTGTATGGCGTATTATGGTTTTATGGCAAGTGCTCTTTGTGGTTCTTGGTTCGTCTTTGGCCGAGTAAACATCACAACCTCTACGTGCAATTGCGTGCCTTTCTGATATGATGGATAGTACTGAAAACACAGTCTGGGCAAAACATTTTGAAGCCAATTCTTTGACCTGCTCACATTTTTAAACCCAGCAACCGAGCAGCCCACCAGCCCACCAGCCCACCAACACACCCACCGACCCACCCACCCCCCAGCCACCCCACCCACTGTGTTTTAGTGGGGGCAACAGCTGTGGCAGCAATTGAGCCTCGGTGAAGACTCCGGTGATTGGAGGGCTGCAAGCAGACAGTCCCAGCAAAAAGCAGAGAGGCGTATCCGCCTGGTAGATGGAACGAAGATCCTTGAACACGCTGAGCGGTGGGACCTGGTAAGGGGGGTCCCAAGGCTGACTTATTCAGGTAATACTAAGGGCTGACAAATTACCAACGTTACTTTCCAGGGTCATTACTGAATTTTAGCTTTATGGCAACCCACTCTTTGAATGGTACTTGGGGTCGCATTGTATCATGCCTCATTGGGGCTCAAAGTGGGGCAATGGAGGCTGCGAAATTCCTTCTTTTGAATTCCACAAGAAATGATGGATGTCACCAGCCTTGTGAGGAGGAAATCTGTGAATGGTATCTATTTTCTGGCAGCTGTGTGGCCTAAGATGCCAATAATCTGCCAGCTTATTTGGCGCAGTGTGTCTGAGAGAGAGAGGGTGACACAATTTGTAGTGCACTAGGGATTGACGGCTGGCTTCAGGTGTTGGCTCTAACATGCCAACTTCTTAAATGCGTATTGTTCTTTCAGCTCCCACTGAGCACTGTTCCCCACGCATCCAGTACATGTGGGCTGGTGTGATTGTTTGGTGTGAGCATTGGGAGGCATGTTTACTTGGTGCAAGGGATACTTGGCATCTGGGTTGAAATACATGGACAGAGGTATGGATGTGACAAAGGATGGTGTGTTTTCCCAATGCAATGGCCTGTGCAATGGAACATTTTGGCCCAAACTAGGAGGTTTGTGCAGCCCGGCCTTGCATCATGCCTACTAGGAAGAAGAGGGGTGTGCCTGGCAAATCCAGTTTGCCAGCTGACTATGTGCATGAGTATGGCATGAGGGGCCAGCCCAGATATGGTGCTGCTCCATGGTGGGGCCGCGCGTTCCCACAGCCACCACCACGAGCCAGAGGACGAGGAGAGTGAAGATGACCAGGAAGAGGAGAGCTTGGGCTTGTTTATTGCATGGAATAGTCTCATTTCCATTTGAGCAACAGGTTGTAGTGTTTGTGTTTGCTTGCCCTTCACCCTTCATTCATGCCAAGGAAAAAGGCCAGGAAGCTGAAGAAACAGAAGAAGCAGAGCAAATCAAAAAAACAGAGGAAGAAGAAACATAGTTTCTTGGTTTAACCAAGTGGCCTGGGCTGCCAGGGGCTTGCGTTTGTGATCTAACTGTTGCTGGCTCAGGCAGTGAGTCTTCAGAGGAATCTGACAGCAGCCAAGATGAGGCCTTGATGAGTGATGAAGAACTTGACCAACTTCCCATCTCCAGGTGACCCTGCCTGTTTGTAAACTTGTTTGAAACATTAAGATGCCTATCCCGCAGGTTTGCTCGTCATCAATGTTGAGCTGAGGCACTGGTCCTATCTTGGGCCGGATATAAAGGCAGATGATGGACTTGGTGGCAGCACTGATGCCAAGGTGAAGGTGTTCAGCCGCAAAAATAGCCTACCACGTTCTGAGAGATTGAGACAACTAAAAGCAATGGACAGTGAACGATTGGCCCCAAGCTTCTTTGCTTGCAAGTAATTCTGAGGCAGTCACATCAGCGCACCAGCCTTTACAATGCAGCACTTAGGCCTCACAAGCCAATTGGGTGATTTCCAGGTGGAACAGCTGTGCTGGCTTTGCACAGGCAGGGTTGCAGACCCATGCTTAGCAGGCAAGCAAGCAGTCATGGTGTGGCAGTTTGCAAGTGCAAGTTGTACAGGGCTGGGGCCCCGCATAGCTGTGAAAGATCTGTTTTGCAGAACGAGAGGAGAATTGACCCTTGGATTGCAAATGAACAATGCATCAGGGTTGCCACTCATGACATTAGCAAACCTGATGTGTGACCAAACAAATTATTTTGTGGGTGAAACAAACCAATTTGTTTTGCACCCAGCGAATGAACCAGACCACCGCTTTGTACAGGTCCAGTGGATGAGCCAAACCCTTGTCCTTTGCAAGCCCAGTGGATGAGCCAAACCCTTTTCCCTTGCAAGCCCAGTGGATGAGCCAAACCATGCCTTAAAGTGGATGAGGCACACCATACCTTTTTGCAGGCCCTGTGGGCGGCCTAACCATGCTTTTGGCAGGCCCAGTGGGTGAGCCATCCATGCCTTTTTGCAGGCGTGGATGAGCCAAACCATGTCCTTGCGCAGGTCGCATGGGCCCTGCAAGCGCAGCGGATGGGCAAAACCATGCCTTTTTTCATGCCCTTTGGATGAGGCAAACCATTTGATTGTGCAGGGTGGCTGTGTTCTTTGCAAGCCCAGTGGGTGAGCCAAACCATTTCATTGTGCAGGCCCAGCGGGTGAGGCATTTTTTTGGTGCAAGCCCAGTGCATAGGCCCAACCATTGGTCAGCCACACCCTATCTTTTTTGCAAGCCAAACGGGTGAGTCAAACCATTTGCCTGAGTGTGCAGTGGATGAGCCAAACCTTTATCTTTTTCTAAGCCTTGAAGCTCAGTGGGTAAGACAAAACATGCCTTTGAAAGTGCACAGGCCCTGTGGCAAGCCATCGGGTGAGCCATCCATGCACATGGGCTGCCATGTAAGGATGCCCTGTACTAGTTTCTCAACCCAGTGGATGAACAAAGCCTGAGGGCTGCCGTTATGTAGAACACAGCTGCTCAGGCCACCTCCCGGTAGCTTGTTTGGTGCAGGTGCCCTGGCCTTTCTTTCACCATTGATTCACAATTCCCTCAGGGCAAGACACAAGAAGCTGTGCTGGCCCTTGCAATCTAAGCCTGATGCAATCTAAGGAAATCTGCCCTAGTTGCGCAGTTTAAGAGGAAGCAGAAAGAGGCTGGAGGAGACCAGCTGCAGGGCATGGATGCATCTTGGCCACAGCCTGCTTGCCATTCCCTGTGGGAGTTGTGATGGGCTAGGCGCACAATTCCTAGCTGAGCTTGTGGTGATAGATGGGTGTGCTGAAATTGCTACCAAGGCAAATTTTGCCAATCTCAGCCTGATCTGCCAAAACCAGGGGTGGCAGAAGTTGTTTGAGCAGCAGAAGAAGAAGCCTGGCAACACCAACAACAGTGCAGCCCAGCCTGAGCTGGACTTGGCTGCAAAGCCACAGTACACTGGCAGGAGGGTTCAGCAGGGCTTCCTCATAGCCAACCGGTCAGGGCTGGAGCATGTGCTTGCGCCAGAGGGCTGCCCAGCTCAGCTCATTTACAGGTCAGGGGTGTACCAGCTCAAGTTGCCTGAAAGCCACCTTTCACAGGAGCAGCCTGGCATGAATTGAATTGGTGACCACTTCAGTGAAAGCAGCTTTGCTGCTAGCATGGGGGGCGGGTGATAGCCAGGGTGTGGACACAATGTGATTAAGGATGACAATGACATGTGACCAGATCTTCCAGAATCCAACTGGGGTGGTTACATGGTGGGCAAAGGTGGTGCCCCAGCTCAGCTTGCTTTGCTGCTTGCATTTGTGGAAGTGGGTGGCAATAGTGCATGGGCCCTGAGGCTGAAATGGCTGTGTTGCACAGGGAGTGCAGCCAATGGGCTTCCAACTATGTGAGCTTTTGCCAAGGCAGTCATGACTTGCAGTTGTGTGTTTGTGTGGCACTTGCCACAAAACAGCTGCTGGTGCACCAGGGCTCAACCCAGACAGCTGGCAGCACATCCAGGTGAGCAACCTCTTGAAGCAGGCGAAAGGCCCAGCGGGTGAGCCAAACCATGCCTTTTTTGCAACAGTGGATGAGCCAAACCATGCCCAGTGACCATGCCTTTTTGCAGGCCCAGTGGATGAGCCAAACCATGCTTAGTGACCATACCTTTTTGCAGGCCCAGCGGATGAGCCCAGGTGACCATACCTTTTTGCAGGCCCATACTTTTTTGCAGGCCCAGTAATGCCTTTTTGCAGGCCCAGTGGATCAGCCATACCAGTGGATGAGCCAAACCATGCCCAGTGACCATACCTTTTTGCAGGCCCAGACCTTTTTGCAGGCCCAGTGGTGCCTTTTTGCAGGCCCAGTGGGTCAGCCATACCTTTTTGCAGGCCCAGTGGATGAGACAAACCATGCCCAGTGACCATACCTTTTTGCAGGCTCAGTGGATGAGACAAACCATGCCCATGCCTTTTGTGCAGGCCCAGTGGAGTGTGGGCTACCTTTTGCAGTTGTATGTAACTCTTGCAGTTGTTGCTTCCCTTGTTCTTTCTCCTTCTGTCTTTGTTATTTGTCCCTGTGTTGCTCCCTCTTATGGTTCTGTTTCTTTTTCTCTTTCCCCCTTTGCCTTTGTATTGTGGTACAGGTGGCTTTGTTCTCTGTCATTTTCTTTTCTCTGTCTCTGTCTCTTTCTCTTTCTCCTCCTCTGTCTATTTGCCTGTCTCTTGTTATTTTTCTTTCTCATTCTATTTAGCCTTCTCCTTAACCTTCTCTGTCTCTATCTCTTGTTCTTTCTCTGTTTCTTTCTCTTTCTCTTTCTCTGCATCTTATTATTTCTCTTTATCTTTCCATGTCTCTTTCTCTTTCTCTTTATCTTTCTCTATCTCTTGTTATTTCTATGTTTCTTTATCTTTCTCCTTATCTTTGTCTTTCTCTTTCTCTGTCTCTTTATGTTTATCTTTACCTTTCTCTGTCTCTTTATCTTTATATTGATTTTTCTTTTTCTCTTAACCTGTATCTTTATCTTTCTC